CGGAACAAAATCATTTTGAAGGATCGGGAAGAAGTTCTCGGGATGGAGTGGCGTCAACAGCTGCTCAGAAGAAGGAGCATTTAACCAAATTTCAATTATTATAAAGTTGTTCGTTGTGCTGGATTTTTACATTCAACTTTTTTTTTTTATCATAAAGTTATGCAAACTGCTTCTGCTAAGTACAATACATTTAGGAAGATGGTATGAGCATAATTTGGTGCAAAGAATTGGGTATAATGTAACAACCCGGCTAGATTTCTATGTAATAATCTACAATAATGCAAATGCCACAAAGTTTATAGCAAACCTGAGTTTGGGTCTAATCTAGTTTAGATTTTCACTCAGAGACGAAAGTAGGATTACATTTACATGTTGCAGATAGTTGCAATTAAACATAAAAAATACAATTTAGACATTAAGAACTACAGATTACGGTTTGGATCTTTGCCTCATGAATTATGTACAGTGTTCATCGTGTACTGAAAGCTATCTGTTTGCTCTGTGGACAAACTGTTAAACATTATGAAGACCAGGCTTTGATTGACATTGACCATCACAAACACAACTACAACATTTTTTTCAGCAGCTGTATACATCAACTTGTGATTCAAAATGCTGACATAAAAGCAGCAAGTAAGAGATGCATCCAAAAACAAGGAGCAGAAGCACAGCAGAGAGGGAGCGTTCAAGTTGTTTTCTTTCTGTTACCAAGTTCTGCTTCAAACCTAAAAGATCAGTTATTTATTTTGAGCATACTACTTGTAGTCAACAAAATAAAACTAATTAACTATCGCACGGGCTTTTTAATATCAATCTACAAAACACATGTTTTGTAGAGAGCGCTCGGTTTCTGTGTTGAGTAGCAAATTAAAATGTGTGGCAGCCGACTAGTTGGAGTCTCAGAAGCTTGTGCTGGCCCTGAGTTAATGCATTTCACTATGAGAGGATGTGGCAGAGAATACAATTTTATTGGTTTGTGTTCATCCTCCTCTCGGCTCTTTGGTTGCATTTTATTATCTGAGGGAATTTTGTCCTTGCAAACAGTTAGCCTGATTTGGTATACTATGTCGACCAGAACTACAGCTGATTGGATCGTTGACTGCAATGAAAGAAAAAAAAAAGATGTTTGCTAGTTTGATTTGATAAGCCGGAAAGTGACCATTTAAGAAAATAAGGATATTTTGGCTATTTTGAGGCAAAGATTGGTTCTTTTTTTTCTCAAAGATCCACAGATTACTGCATCTAAAAAGTTTATCCACTTCAGAAAAAAAAAAAAAAAGATACAGGTGTTGGTGGAAGTTCAAAAAAATGTATTATATTAGAATTTTTTTTTTGTGTGAAAATGTTTTACTTTGAAATCAAAAGTTTGTCAATAGAACAAATGAAGAATCAATTCCAGCAAATGTTAATTTAAAATCATCCAAAGCAGTTCATTTTAAGTGATTTTTTTTTATGCAATTTTAAAACTTTTGCAACCGAGTTATAATTTACTGTTTATTAATCTACCATCATTGATCATTCTGCACATTGGAAGAGACCATTTAAACAGGCCCTGTGATGCAGTAAGTGAAGGTGTTGAACTCAGCTGGGCAGCACAGGTGGATGAAGCCAAAATCTTTAAATAGAATCGCATCATTTCTTCTGCAGTTTGTTGGTGAAATTGTAGCGATTACTCCCAATTGTTTCCTCACTTTATTAAACTGGAACACTAGAGTTAATCAGGCTCTATCTTCAGGCTGAAGGTTTTTCCTGGATGAACCTTAAATACCTTGATTTTAAATTGCTACTAGATGTGGAATTGCCTTCAGCCACCTGCATACTTTTAGGGATTCGGATGGTCTTTGCTGAATTGTTTGGGTTCTCTGAAAGAAGCAAACAAATGAGAAGGGAAGAGCAAATAAGGCTTAACTGAAGCTCTCCAATTTAAAGGCCTAAAAAACAGGAGGATTTCAGTACTTTTAGAGGGTTTTGTAAAATACATATTAGTTGTCAATCGAGGCTGAATGTGGAACAAACTGTGAAAACATGTATTAATGGATTAAGTTCTTACCAGTGTTTAAGTTTTCTGACTTTTTAAAGTTTTGAAACTCAAAGTAAAATTTGAACGATGCATGCATCTTAAAATCAAAATGCTTAAAAACTAAAAGCTAAACTGTAAATTTATTGAATTACAGTTTTAATCCAGGCATGAGCACAAGGAACGTACAATAAACACTCAAGTCCTTTGGAAATTCTCCCCAAAACGATCACATTTACAAAATAAAAGTAATATATTTTGCATTTGAGCTGCTAGAATATGGGTCTTGATTAATGGTTTTCCAGACTTTCTGAAATTTTTATTTGAACTTTAAATGCTTTTTTTATTTATTGGTGTTGATTCTCAGTGGTCTGGGATGAGATTATTTTGAAGTGGGTTAGAGAACTCGACTTCTTTTGTTCCTTGAAGACTTCCTTGACAACTGAAGAGGCATTTGGATGAGAGGTGAAATGTATTCAAGAAACAAAATAAATTCTCCAGTTGCCTTTCATTTAACAACTTTTCAGTCCAGTCTTTGTAACTGACCATAATACATACATTGAGCTATGTCTCATAAATAAGGGAAGTTAAAAAGAGGAGGACATAGGTAAAGGAGTCTGACATAAAAAGCCATTTACAGCAAATGAACAAAATCTGAAAGTTGTATCTTGACCCAGGAATCACATTGTTGGTGCTAAAATCCAATTTTTCTGTCTGTTAACATTTTTTCCCATGTTTTTAGTAGATTATATGATTTAAAAAATGTTAGATGAATTCAGGCAGACAAAGGTTTATAAGCTCAATCATCCAGGTAAATGGCAACAAAAAATGTTAAATCATGTCATCTGGACCAGTTTCTTTAAGTGAGAAATGTTTTGTCCCCCATCCAGAGAACTTCCTCAGTCTAGGGCCTCCCAAACCGATCTGTCCCATAGGTACAGTAGCCTTCACTGCTGTTTCAAGCCAACCTCCTGTTAGAATCTCAAAAGTAGGCTTTTAATACGTGCAAAGCACACCCATCCAAAACAATCAATCATCATTTACAACAATCAAATGTTTTAGGCCAGATGGCCAACTTGCTACTGACAGAAACAGCCTGAGGTCAGCAACTCGCCTTCAGGCAGACAGGTGTGTCAGAGTAGCAGCAAACATGGAACTTTGTTTTGATGATTGAACAAAGATATTATCATCAGGGTGAGCAGTATCCTGGAACTTCTCAAAAGACAAAAAAATTGTGCTTCGTTATTTAATAAATGTTAATTAGCTGTAGTATGAAAATGCCTGTGTGAGGACCTTCAGTGAAAAGTTGACATGGCAATACTTACTTATAAGTTGAAAGATTGGATGCTTTATTTTGGTTGCATTGGTGAGGACATGGACCCTAATGACTCTGCAGTTGTGTTTCATACAAAAGATACATGAATTGCTTATGGTGTTTTTATTTTCTTGTTTGCTCTCGGTGGAAGGCAGACGTGTTCTCCTCCTGCTCTGTTCCTCGCTCCATCCCTGCTTTGCTCTTTGGCTTGTGAGCCTTTTTCAGAACCCCCTTTTTTGCATACCTTCCGAATTGTAAAAATGGATTTGATCAGCTGGTCTCTCAACGAAATTGATCAGTTTTTCTCAACAGGTAATCAGGGTGAAGGAGAACCCTCTTACCTCTTACCACTGGCCTCCCTCGCATCCTCTGGCAAAGCAGCCTAGGAGATGCGAAGGCGCTAAGGGCTCTGTCACTCATCTGACGGCCGTGCTGGGATTCCCACCCCCTATCCACTTCACACACATATGCATTATGTCTATTTAGGTTGCTTTGCTGTGGTAGATTTGTTTAATGCCTCAAACTGTGCCCTGCCAATGACACAGTGTAAGAGATCTTCTTTTTTATATACCTCCTTATGTTTTTTTCCCTTTTTCTTATCTAAGCAACAGTGCAGCACATCTTAGAAGCTGCAGCCCCGTGTACACTTATGTCCATCTTTAGGATGGCTGTATGGAAAGTAAGTTTGTTGTTCTTCACTGTGCAATGATAATAAAAGCATTTTGATTCTGATTCTAATAAGCTTGGTTCAAATATAGCCTTCTGCAGCTTTGTTACACATCATGACTTATTTCATGATTATTTTTATTATTACAGCTTATTTGCTTTATTTATTTATTTATTTTTTGTATGTGTTTTAGGTACCGACATGCAAATTGCATTGACACAATGGCAAAAGTCTGTTTTATTACTGTGTGTCCCACTAACAGTTGTATACTTTAATGCAGTTTAACTCTGTGGAAGCTTAGATTTTCATTAACTAGAATGTACAGCCTTAGAATGGAAACAATATTAAAATGAAAATAGACTGAATAAATCAACCTTCTGCTGAAAAGAAATGCTCTGTTTTATTTTTTACAATTGTCTGAACTTCATGATCATCCTGCACTGACGAACATAAACAGCAATATCAGAACAGGCTGACCTTGAATTACTTATGAGAATCATATGAAATAAGTTCAAGAGTTTAATTTGAGTGTTTTAATATTCCCCTCATTGAAAAGACTTTCTTCACTGAGCATATTAAAATGAGATTTTTCTTTCTTTTTTGTAACTCGAGACTCTTTGTGCTTCCACATACGTACCACTTTTTGTTTCTGATCAGCTTACTGCATGAATGAGCACAATAGGTTTTAATGTGAAATGGAATTTGCATCAAAGCTGTTAAGAAAATCTGCTTTGATTTTTCAACCGCAACACTATTCTGAGCACAGGGTGTCAGTGGCTGCTCATTTTCAAAGCAACTTCATGCATTTTCATCAAGGATCACTTTAAGCAAGTTGCAACTATCTCATACCATAATTCATCTCTTAACTCAATTTTTTACCGCTCATAGTTTCAGTGAAATTCACTCTTTTAATTATGAGTCAGCTCTCTCATAAATGCTTTTAGCAACTTTACACTTTAGCCAACTAGTTTGTCTTAATCTTTGTTTTTCTTTTCTCTTAGGTCAGTTCTTCTGGGTCAACAGTTCAGTCTTTGGAGGACCCTGGGTCTTAAGTCCATGGCTGTGGGGGAGTCGAGGTCTGTGTAGCTTGGATATGGCTGTGTTTCTTCACCCTAAACAAAGTGGACAATACACCATTTGGCTCATAGAGCGAGACAAGCCACCTTTCAAACTCTTCTCGACTGTCACGCTGCCACAAATGACCGGGTAAGCATGCAGTTTTTTTTTCACATATCTGTCCAGTTTTGCAGGGAATCATGTTCAGGTTTGCATTAAATATGAAAATGTAAAAATAATACAATAATAATCATCATCTTTGGCTTGTATGGAAGTGTCTTATTATTGAAGTGAGCTTTAGCTGAATGCTTAACAATGGAGTAAACTGGTTTTAAAAAAAATAAACTAGTTGCACTCTGCATGACTGATGTCTTGTGATACAATAGAAAGAGCTGCAGGGATGGATCTACATTCATGGTTTTGTGTTTTGAGCATGCAAGTTTTAATTTTCTTGTGTATAGCTGAAAAAAGTTCGAGACTGTACCGCTGTACCAAATCCTACAAATAACTGAAACAGGTAAGTTGAAACTGTATTTTCATTCTTGTAAAAAAATAAAATAAAATAAAAAAATCATGTCCTGTAGGACTTCTTCGGATGATATTCCAGCGGTATTATTTTCGCAGTACTGACTCTTACTGTTTAGAAGGAAAGCTGTGGTCGGTGCAGTGCAGCTCAAGCAGCGAAACTGACTGCAAATCTGCTCATCACCCGAACACCATCACAACCGTAACCTGCTGCTGTTTAGTAAAAGACAAAAAGCTGAAGTGTTCAAAGTGCATTTGAGAATAACGAGGGTAGTAATTGTCTTTGTACTACACATTTAGGTTGTTTCAATGTAGATTTGAATATTTAATAGGAATGTTTCTGCTTGGGTTAAATAGGTTGCTATGGAAAATTGATTTGCCTATTGAGGAAAAAATGCATCAAATTTTGACCAAATGTTTATTTGGTGGTTGAACTGTTTTGTATTTTTTAAAGCAGGCAGTCATTGTGATGCTGGGTACTAATCAGCAAATATTCACATTCATATTAGCTTCCTTGCAATCTAATCTCTAATTAACAGCACGCCTGTGCTCTGCTCACTGAGCCTTTCTACGGTTTTTGCAGCAAATGATTGATATGTGTTTGTACTTTTACCTTAATTAACATAATTGAATAAGTTTGAACAAAACTAAAATGCTATTTGGAAGTAGTATATAAAATACTATATTATAAATAACAATAGTAAAGATTCAAATAAATGGGGTTGATGTAGAAAGAGTTGGTGAAATCAGATTTCTTCAGGTAACAGTGGATGAACGACTTAGTCAGAAAGCATATATTAAATGTATTCATTCTAATTCATCAAAGAGCATGACAGTACTGGATAGTGCCAAGCAATGTTAGATCAGACATCATGCCAGATACTCTACAATTCACTAGTTTCACCTTTTTTAGGTTACTGTGCAAAAATCTGGAGTAACAATAAAAAAATAAAATAAAAATGTTAGTCACTTTTTATTCTCTAGAAAAAGCAGTTAGTATCATTCACAGTGCAGCTTGCAGCCAAACCTCAGTTCTTACAGCTCAAAACACTGAAGTGTATAGATTTGGAAAACTCCCATGCACTGAAAATTTTGTTCAGAGCCTAACTGGGTAAATTACCTAAAATATTCAAATTGTGTTTCTTTTTCTGGAAGGATGTCGCAATTTAAAGTTTTTGTCAATTGAAAGTAGTTATTGTTTTTCTGTGTTTGGAATGAAAACTATGGAGTATGTTTGAGTGTGGAGCTGAACATCAAAATGTTTAACAGGAAGTATGAATAAATTATTTTTATAATTTATAAGACAGTGGTAAGACCAGCTATGTTGAATGGTCTGGAGACAGTGGCACTGACAAAAAGACAGGAGAAAGAACTGGAAGTGGCAGAAATGAAGATGCTGAGGTTCTCCTTAGGAGTGACAAGGATGGATAAGATTAGGAATGAGATCATCAGAGGTACAGCACAGGTTGAACAACTGGGAGATAAAGTTAGAGAGACCAGACTGAGATGGTTTGGACATGTCCAGAGGAGGAACAGTGGGTATATTGGTAGAAGGATGTTAGAAATGCAGCTGCCAGGAAAAAGACAGAGGAGATATATGGATGCAGTTAGAGAGGACATGGAGGTAGTTGGTGGAAAGACAGAGGATGAAGAGGACAGAGTGAGATGGAGGAAGATGGCTCACTGTGGAGACCCCTGAAGAGGGAAAAGCTGAAGAAGATGAATTGATTTCATGAAATATAAAGCTATAAAGGAAGAAGCGGGTAAAGATGATGGATGGATATAAAAATATAATAGCTTGTATTAATAGAGTATTTGAATATTATAAATATGTCTAATATTTTAATTAGCGGTTATATTAATAAGAAATTTGATAAGTAAAAATTGATAACAAATGGTGAAGGGGTGGGGACGTATGAGTACGTACTTCTTCCCACTCCTTTTCGACATGTGCGCCAAACAAGAAGTGGAGCAATACTTGCGCACTTTTATATTATCTAGCTTTCATTATCGTTTTGTTTCTCTCTTTTTTAATGTACAAAATAAACCAAACGAGTAAACAATAATTGTGCGTGATGTTCTAGCTTGAAGATCGACTCTCAAAATGTGGCTATAAATCTGTTCCGTGCTGTTCTTGTGTGCAGTCTCCTATGGCACTGGATTCATGAGAATGTCTTGCTTTGTGCGTTCTCTGAATCCTTAAGTGTTGCTTTGCAGGAGAGGGTGCACATAAATGTTTGTGTGCTCGTGCAATTGTTCTCTGTATGTTCTTATGGGAGTGTAGCAGGGACCTGCTCATTACGTCTATGAAAAATTAGACTTGAGCATTGTGTGTGCCTTCATTTGTAGTCAGCTGCTGCCACCCACCCATAGCATCTCTGCCAGCAGGAGACTCACTCAATCCCACTAACGCATGCATCCATGCACACACAGACACACACATCTCTGTTCTGAGAGGAAGACACTTGATTCACAAAAATACACAAAAATAAAAGCAACAAGAGCTGCTTGAAGATGATGAAGAGTTGGTCTAATTGGCTCTCTGACTTGGCATAAATTGTATTGTTGTTAGGACATGTTTGCCCATTTAAGCTCTCAGTATTTGACATAATGTTGGCCAAAAAGGATGCAAAATTAAATTTGTGTTCAAAATGTTTATATTTTACCAAGAGAATAGATCATATCTTTAGTGTAGTTAAGTTTATTTTGTTGGTTTTTCTTTGGTTTGTATTGCAGAAGTTCAGAAACACAGAACATCCAATAAGGAGTGAAAGAAATGGATGCATTAAAGGAAAAAATAACAACCTGTTTGTTAAAATTCTCAGCGAGCATCTTCTCTTCTTTTAATGTGCCATGCAATGAAACCCCAACTCCACATTAAAGTGAAGACCTATGTTTTTGCTTATACACTTTAGTGTGCGAAGATGAGGTTTAACTGATGTGTATTGATTTGTAGACACAATGTGACTACGTTGGTAGAACAGCTGTGAAATAGAAACTGTTTTGAGATTATTTTGCAAAGTTTACATCTTTGCACCAATAAAATCTGATTCATTTATTGTGTGAACGTTTATGAAGCATTCACACAATCGTGATCCATTTTTCTTATGTTCGTTTTTCTGCATCTTTCTCATTCCACAATTTTTGTGCTATTTCAGCAAATCATATATCAAAATGTTCAGCTTTTTCAGGAAAATACTGTTATGACTTTTGGTGCAACTTTAGCTTTTTTAAATATTTAGCCTTTTCTGACATTTTCTTTTTCTTATAGAAAATGAATTCAGCTCATTTTACATCCTTCACATCTTTAGATCTGTTTACAACCTTTTACTGCTCCTTTCACATTTTGTTCTGGTTTAGCTTCTTTCAGCTTATTTGTGCAAATTTAAACTTTCTGCTACTTTCAGCTTATTTTCAGCTGGGTTGTTTTTTTTTTTAGCTGTTTTGTGCTCTTTTTGTGCTCTTTCTGCTAACTACAAAATTTTTGTATTTCTTCTAACTTCTTTCTGCTAATTTTAGCTTGTATGCTCCTTTCAGCTTATTTCAGCAAGTTACAGCTTTTCCACAGCCATTACAGCTACTATTTAGCTGTTGTCATGTAAGCTTTTTATGCGTTCCACATTTTTTGCAATCATTTCAAACTTTTTCAAACATAATTCAACAAAAATGTGCTCTCTCCACTTTCTTCTTGTAGTTTAAGCTTCTTTCTGCCTTGTTAGCTACATTTAAGCTTTTTTGTGTTTGCTTGTTTCAAATTTCTGCTTTTTTCAAATAGCTTCCACTTTTTGTGCTCATTTCTGCTTTTTTTTTCAGCCTTATTTGGGACAATTGTGCTTTCTCCACTTTCTTCTGATAATTTAAGCTTCTTTCTGGGGTTTTTTACCTACTATTCAGCTGTTTTTTGCAAATTTCTGCTTTTTTTTTTCCAGATAATTTCAGCTTTTTAATCTCATTTCGTCTTTCAGTCTTATTGGGCACAATTGTGTTCTCTACACTTCCTTCTGGTAACTTAAGCTTCATTCTGCCATTTCAGCTACTTTTCAGCTATTTCTTGCTAATTTAAGCTTTTTTGGGCTAATTAACAATTTTTTTTTTGTGCTCATTTCTGCTTATTTAAACCAAATTCAGCAAACATGTTCTTTCTGCTTTCTTCTGCTAACTTAGACTTGTTCTTCCATTTCTGCTACATTTCAGCATGTTTTTAGCTAATTTCAGCTGTTTTTCTGCAGGTTCTGTAGCAATAAGCATTCACATGGCATTTTCACAGGAAATGCAATTTCTCTACTTTAATTTAATTTAATAATGATTTATTATAACTTTATTATAGATAAACAGACTCAACAGAAACATTGCTTGAATCAGAAATTTGTTTTATTACAATTTATCACATGTTTTTCATTATTATTTATTCCAACAATTTGAACATTACAAAGTCAAAACGTGTCTAACCTCTTCCTCCCCTGCTACCAGCCTCCAGCCTGTCACTGTCTTCCAGCAGGGCGAGGTGTAAAGATGTTTGTCTCAGAAGCAGCCAGTGGCACAGCAAATAGTAAATTATTCTGTGTTCCCTCAGGTTAGACAGGTCTGTCTGGCGCTCTATGTATTTTACGTTTTAAGGATTGTTC